CCTTGCATCCCAGGGATGAATCCTACTTGATCATGGTGCACAATTTTTTTGATATGTTTTTGTATCCGATTCGCCAGAATTTTATTGAGGATTTTTGCATCTAGGTTCATTAGAGATATTGGTCTGTAGTTTACTTTCTTTGAAGTGTCTTTGTCTGGTTTAGGTATCAGGGTGATGTTGGCCTCATAGAATGAATTTGGAAGTTCTCCCTCTTTTTCTATTTCCTGAAGTAGCTTGAAAAGTATTGGTATTAGTTCTTCTTTAAAGGTTTTGTAAAATTCTGCTGTATACCCATCCGGACCTGGGCTTTTCTTAGTTGGTAGTCTTTTTATGGTTTCTTCTATTTCCTCAATTGATATTGGTCTGTTTAGGTTGTCTATATCCTCCTGACTCAATCTGGGCAGATCATATGACTTAAGAAATTTATCGATGCCTTCACTATCTTCTAATTTATTGGAGTATAAGGATTCAAAATAGTTTTTGATTATCTTCTGTATTTCTGAAGTGTCTGTTGTGATATTGCCTTTTTCATCCCGTATGCTAGTAATTTGAGTTCTCTCTCTTCTTCTCTTCGCTAGCATCGCTAAGGGTCTGTCGATTTTATTTATTTTTTCAAAGAACCAACTTTTAGTTTTGTCAATTTTTTCAATTGTTTCTTTTGTTTCGATTTCATTAATTTCAGCTCTGATTTTAATTATTTCTTGCCTTCTACTTCTTTTGCTGTTGTTTTGCTCTTCTTTTTCAAGGATTTTGAGATGAAGTATGAGATCATTTATTTGTTGGTTTTTTCTTTTTTTAAGGAATGAACTCCAAGCAATGAATTTTCCTCTTAGAACTGCTTTCAATGTGTCCCATAGATTCTGATATGTTGTGTCTGTGTTTTCATTTATCTCTAAGAATTTTTTAATTTCCTCCTTGATGTCTTCTATAACCCATTGATCACTCAGTAACCTATTGTTCATTCTCCAAGTGATGTATGCTTTTTCCTTCCTTCTTTTATCATTGATTTTCAGTTTCATTCCATTATGATCAGATAAGATGCATGGTATTATCTCTACTCCTTTATATTGTCTAAGAGTTGCCCTGTGACATAATATATGATCTATTTTTGAGAAGGATCCATGTGCTGCTGAGAAAAAAGTATAATTGCTTGATGTTGGGTGGTATACTCTATATATGTCAATTAAGTCTAGGTTATTAATTGTGTTATTGAGTTCTATAGTTTCCTTATTCAACTTTTGTTTGGAAGATCTGTCCAGTGGCGAGAGAGGTGTGTTGAAGTCTCCCATGATTATGGTATGGTGGTCTATTAGACTCTTGAACTTGAGAAGAGTTTGTTTGACGAACATAGCTGCACCATTGTTTGGGGCATAAATATTTATGATTGTTATGTCTTGTTGGTGTATGGTTCCCTTAAGCAGTATGTAGTGTCCCTCTTTATCCCTTTTGATTAACTTTGGCTTGAAATCTATTTTGTTTGATATGAGTATGGACACTCCTGCTTGTTTCCGAAGTCCATATGAGTGATATGATTTTTCCCAACCTTTCACTTTCAGCCTATGTATGTCTTTTCCTATCAAATGCGTCTCCTGTAGGCAGCATATTGTTGGGTCTTGTTTTGTGATCCATTCTACTAGCCTGTGTCTCTTAATTGGTGAGTTTAAGCCATTAACATTTAGGGTTATTATTGAGATATGGGTTGTTCTTCCAGCCATATTTGTTTATTTATGTTACTAAACATGGTTTGTTTTCCTCTTTGATTATTTTCCCCCCCTTTACTGTCCTACCTCCCACTGTTGGTTTTCATTGTTATTTTCCATTTCCTCTTCCTGTAATGTTTTGCCAAGGATGTTTTGAAGAGATGGTTTTCTAGCTGCGAATTCTTTAAACTTTTGTTTATCGTGGAAGGTTTTAATTTCATCTTCCATCCTGAAGCTTAATTTCGCTGGATACACAATTCTTGGTTGGAACCCATTTTCTTTCAGTGTTTGAAATATGTTATTCCAGGATCTTCTGGCTTTCAGAGTCTGTGTTGAAAGATCAGCTGTTATCCTGATTGGCTTACCCCTAAATGTGATCTGCTTCCTTTCTCTTGTAGCTTTTAAAATTCTCTCCTTATTCTGTATGTTGGGCATCTTCATTATAATGTGTCTAGGTGTGGGTCTCTTATGATTTTGCACATTCGGCGTCCTGTAGGCTTCTAGGATTTGGGATTCTGTCTCATTCTTCAAGTCTGGGAAGTTTTCTCGTATTATTTCATTGAATAGACTGCTCATTCCTTTGGTTTGGAGCTCTGTACCTTCCTGTATCCCAATGACTCTTAAGTTTGGTCTCTTAATGTTATCCCATATTTCTTGGATGTTCTGCTCATGGTTTCTTAACAGTCTTGCTGAGCTGTCTATGTTCTTTTCCAGTTGAAATACTTTGTCTTCATTGTCTGATGTTCTATCTTCTAAGTGTTCTACTCTGCTGGTAGTATTCTCCATTGAGTTTTTAAGTTGGTTTATTGCTTCCTGCATTTCTAGGATTTCTGTTTGTTTGTTTTTTATAACCTCTATCTCCCTGTATAGTTGATCCTTTGCTTCCTGGATTTGTTTGCGTAATTCATTGTCGAAGTGATCTTTCATTGTCTGATTTTGCTGTCTAATGTCTTCCTTGATACTCCAGATCATCTGAAGCATGTATATCCTGAATTCTTTATCTGACATTCCATCTGCTGCAGCTGTTACCTCTTCTAAAGTTGCGTTGACCTGCATTGCTTGTGGTCCTTTCTTTCCTTGTCTTTTCATACTGCTTGCGTATCTTTCCTGCAGGCGCGGGCGGCGGCTCTGCTCTCTCCTTATTCCAATTGGGTTGTCGTGGCTACCACGCCGGCAGGTCACTGGGCCTGTTCTGGGCACTGGCGGTGGCTCTGTTCTGCCCCTACTCCAATTGGGGTGACGAGTGTACCCCGCCGGCAGGCCACTGGGCCTGATACACCGGTCGGTTGCAGGTGTGCCTACCCTGAAGGCGCGGGTGGCAGCTCTACTCTGCCCCTACTCCAAATGGGGTGACGTGTCTGTCGTACCGGCAGGCCACTGGGCCTGTCCCGCTGGTCGGTCGCAGATCTGCCCACCTTTTGGGCACGGGTGGCGGCTCTGCTCTGCCCCTACTCCAATTGGGGTGTCGTGACTACCCCGCCTGCACGTCGCTGGGCCTGTTCCTGGCACGGGCGGTGACTCTGCTCTGCCCCTACTCCAATTAGGGTGGTGTGTGTACCACGCCGGCAGGCTCCTGGGCCTGATCCGCCGGTCTGTCGCAGGTCTGCCTACCTTGGAAGCGTGGGCAGCGGATCTGCCCTGCCCCTCCTACCACGCCTGCGGACCCCTGGGCCTGATCTGCAGGTTGGTCACAGGTCTGCTCACCCTGTGGGCACGGGTGGCGGTTCTGCTCCGCCCCCACTCCAATTGGGGTCACGTGGCCACCACACCGGCAGGGCCTAATCCGGGCATGGGAGAAGGATCTGCTCTGCCCCTACTCCAGTTGGGGTGACGTGTGTACCACACTGGCAGGCCACTGGGCCTGACCCGCCAGGCTGTCACAGGTCTGTTTACCTTGCAAACGCGGCGGCTGCTCTGCCCTGCCCCTCCTACCACGCCCATGTACCACTGGGTCGCGGGTCTGCCCACCTTGCGGGCGCGGGTGGCGGCTCCGCTCCGCCCCCTCTCCAATTGGGGTCACGCGGTCACCACGCTGTCGAGCCGCTGGGCCTGCTCCGGGCGCTGGCGGCGGCCCGGCTCCTCCCCTCTGGCTCGACGACAAATTGAGGAGACTTGGGTGTCTGTGCCTCACCCCCCCTACCAGGAGACCAACTGTTTCTGTTGCCGCTGGTATTGATGAAGTTCTCTCCTCCGCCGCTTTCTGATGACATCAGATCTCTGCCATGTTGGTATCCTATGCGAATGGCAGCATTTCATTCCCCTTGCCGGGCAACCAAAGCAACGGGTGAGTCCTGACCGGCCCTCAGCAGGACCCGGACCGAGAAGCAGTTTCCGTGGGCTCCTAGCCCTGGGCCAGGGCAGTTCCGGGAGCCGGAACTTGGCCGCTCCGTGCTCGGTGTATGCTCCGATAAGTGTAGCTCCAAGAAGCAGTCCCCGCGGGCTCAGTTCCGGGAGCCGGAATTCGGCCGCTTAGTGCTTGGTGTATGCTCTGATAGGAGCAGGGTCCAAGAAGCAGCCTCCGCAGGCTCCCCAGCCCTGGGCCAGGGCGGTTCCGGGAGCCAGAACTCGGCGCCCCGTGCTCCGTGTTCGCTCCGATAAGATCAGGTTCTAAGAAGCCCCCAGGCACTGAACCCTAGCAATCTGTCTGCAAGCCGCAGGCGAATGGCAGCCTGAAATTACCTGTTCTATGGCTGAATGAGCTGCCCAATCATATGCTTCTGAAGGGCAAAAACCACGACTTCTATTAACTATCTCCCAGAATTATGGTAAAAATTGGATGAGAAAATGTACACTGCCTGTTCTGTGGTTAGAACTGTAAACTTATAGCCAGGAATGGTGGGCCATGCCTGTAATCCCAGCAGCTTGGGGGGCAGAGACAGGTGGATCCTGAGTTCAAAGCCAGCCTCAGTAAAAGCGAGGGGCTAAGCAACTCAGTGAGACCCTGTCTAAATAAAATACAAAATAGGGCTGGGGATGTGGCTCATCGAATGCCTCTGAGTTCAATCCCCGGTACCCCCCCCAAAACCTGTAAACTTATTAATAAAGTTCTTCTCATTATTATGTTACTGTTACTCCTCCTCCTGCTTCTCTCATTCTTGCTCTGACACCTTAGTCTGACATTTTAGTATTTAGATAAGGCACTAATAACTGTTAAATGGTTAAAAGTATTCACAGATGAACAGATGAAGAACTTTCAATGGGAAGCAAGCTTTACCCAGCAATGGGCAGAATAACAAGCATGTTACAGCATCACTGTCCTTCTTTCCTGAAAGTCCCTGGGAATGCAATTGTGTTACTTACAAGAATCCTGCGGCATAGGAGTCCGATAGATTGTTTGTGCCTCCAGCTGAGGTAGTCACCACACCTTCAAGCCAAATCTTCTTTCCTGGAGTGTATGTATTAACCACCTGGTCAAACAACAAAGCAGAAGGGGATAATCAGTTTTTAAAATCTATTCCCAGATGAGAAGCAACACACATTCCCTAAAGGAAGTTTCTCTGATTCCCTGCTCCCAGGTACTTTTTTCCCTGATGACGCACACACACAATTGTTGGCATACAACACACCAAAGCATTAACATTGACACATGTCCCCTCAAAGAAATTATTGTTTTTCCTCAGGAAGACCTAAGTGACAATGTGATAGAACAAATGCATATTCTAGGATGTGAGGTGACTTTAGGGATGAAAACACTGTTCATTGTCAGTACAGGTCCCAAAACAGAAATCATATTATGTTTCCATATTAACAAGTATTGAGAAGCAAAGTTTTCAGTATTCTGTTATGCACTATCCACATGTTAGAATTCATTAATCATGAGAGAGTAGAGGATGATGTTTTAGAGAATTATTTTATAATAGCAATGGCTTGGATATTGTAGCCACAGTTTGAAAATAACTGTAGTAAGTGTAAAAAGAAAAGTCACTGACCCACAGGTCAGATCCTACTCAGGGAGCAACCACAGCTGCATGCCTTCCCAGCAGAGGCAAAGCCTCTTGTCAAAATGTTGCCCTCTAAAATTTTAAAGTGGCTCAATCTCTGATCTACAAGTTTGAGATGGAAGTAAGGATTGCAACTGGTAGAAATATCCTGAGGATGAACAGTGGAGGTTGATTTGAAATATTGTTAAAATTCACCCTTGGGCCTGGGTTTGAAGCTCCGTGGTAAAGCATATGCTTAGTATGTGTAAAGCCATGAGTTCAATCCCCAAACCTGCAGGGGGAAAACCCCTTCACACAGAAAAATAAGAGTCATTTGAGGATGCCACAAGGCAGTCCTCTCACCCTTTTCATCACTGCTCAGAGTGCCCCACCCAGGGGAAGCTGGAAATCATAATGATGGAAAAGTAAGAAAAATACCTTAAATGATCACAAGGTAAAATTAGAGGACTATATCTGTGAGTTCCCTTAAAATGCAGTGCTAGGAATGCATCTGTGCATATGATAAACTTCATGCTTCCTTTATAATTAACTATAACTGAGTGATAGATTTGTTTTTAACTTTTTGCCTTTGGCTTCCAGGATATTCACAGTTTAGTTTTGTGTTCAAAGACAGATATTAAAGTGAGATAGTTGGAGAAAGAGGATTTTGTCGAACTAAACAAAACTGTAAACACTACAACATGATTAAACCTTGAAAAAACTAAGCTGAGTGAAGGATGCGAGGCATAAAAGGCAAAACACTATCTGATTCCATTTATATAAAATATCCAGAACAGGCAAATCCAGAGAGAGAGAAAGTAGATTAGTGGTTTTTTAGTGTTTTAGTCAGATTTTTTGCTGTTGTAACTAAAGAACAACTGTAAAGGAGGAAAGGTTTATTTGAGGGCTCACAGTTTCAAAGGTCTTAGTCTATAGAAGGCTGGCTCCATTCCTTGAGGCTCGAGGTGAGGCAGAATATCATGGTGGAAAAGTGTGGCAGAGGGAAGCAACTCACAAGTTGATCAGAAAGCAGAGAGAGAAAGAGATTCCACTCTCCAAATACAAAATATATACCATAGCCATGCACCCACTGAGCCACTTCCTTCAGCCACCTCTGCCTGCCTCCAGTTACCTCTCAGTTAATCCTAGCAGGGATTAGTCACTGATTAGGTTAAGGCTATAGCCCAATCATTTCTCCTCCAAACCCTCTTGCATTATCTCACATGTGAGCTTTTGGGGGACACCACATCTAAATAATAACAGGATTGAAGAGGAGGGAGTTTGGGGGTATGTGAGCATAGGGAGTGACTACTAATGAGTGTGAGGTTTCTTTTGGGATTGGAATTGAGCATGTTTTAAAATTAGTTGGTAATGATATCAAAATTCTATGAATATAGTAAAATCCACTAAATTTCATACTTTGAAAGGGTGAATGTTATGTGTATTGTATTATATATATATGAACACTCTAGCAAAAAGAGAGGTAGAGTCTAGGAGGGCAGTGAACCATCATATGGAAAAATATATATGCTGGAAATTTTGGGTTCCAACAGATGCTAATTTGGAGACTTTTGGAAGTCTTTATCTTGGACTTCAATTTCTTCATCAACATTTAAATAAGTGGATTTGGAATAGATGAACTGTAAGTCCATTCTAAATATAAAATGTTAAAATATATTAGTTTCTATGATATGAATATAAGTCCCTTTGGCTCCCAAAGATTAAGAGAAACTTTGATTATGGAAGTTAAAATCAAATAACAATAAAAGGAAAAAAAAAGTCAAATATAGGTGAAAACTGGTCACCTCTGAATCAAAGATCTAGATCAGAGGAAGGTCCACAGAATGGTAGAAAAAGCCGGAGGAGAATATGAAATTGTCTAGAGAGAACATATAAAAATGAGGCTAGGAAAGGAATCAGGATTTCTATCCAACTATATTAAGGTGTTACCAAATGCACTAATTTATTTATTCAACAAATATTGATTAAGCACCTGCTCAATGCCAAGCAGGTATACAGCAATGAAAATAGGTCTCTGCTCTCACTGGCTTACACTGTGGTCAATGGGACTTGGTGGTGGTGGTGGTGAGGTATAATTCTTTAAACAGTGGTCAGGGAAAGCACCCTGAGGTGATCTCTGAGCTGAGACCTGAGTGAAGAAGTAGCCAGTCCCTTAATGGATCTGGGCTTAATCCCAGTTGCCTCATCCTCCTCAAATTATTAGTGGGGAGATAGCACTGTTGTAGTTAGGGGAATAGTCTTTGGAGACAGATCACCTGCATTTGAACCCTGGTTCTACTGTCCATTCATTGTGTGCCTTTGAGTATAGCACAGTACTTACTCTGCATTTCTGTTTCCTTGGCTGTAAAATTAGAATAATAAGACTACCTGCCTCAGAGGATTTTATGTTATTTAAACTACTTAATATTTGCAAAGCACTTGAAATAGTGTCTGGTATATAGTAAGCACTTAGAAATATAAACCAAAATGTTATCTAGATCACTCTCCTTGTCCAAGGTACATGTAACTGTGTTTGCATGAATCTAACATCAGCTATGGTTATTTTCCTTCACACACCATACGGGATGATGGGGAATGTCCCAGATGTATGCTAAGCTGCAGAAAAGGCCACTTTAGAATATAAAATGCATATAGCTAATTCACATCAACATAATTAACATTCAGAGTAGTTCACTTATCTACTCTCAATACAGACAACTCCTGTCAAGCCACACAAACAAAAATCACAGTGAGGTAGAACTTTGATACAAAACCTACATCAGTTATATGAAATATCTTGTGGGTAAAACAGTCCTAGAAAGCATTAATGTGACTGGTTCTAGGAGCAGTCAGTGCAAATCAAAAACTATTTTCAGAGTATTTTGGGACATAGTGGGAGGCTTGATGAGCTGTGTCTTCCGTGAGCAGAGAAGACCAGCATGGTGACATGTGGTGGAGCTACAGAGACTGAAGTTGCGTGCTGGTTGGGCCTGGGGATGAAATCTGTATGGGCAGAAGAAGAGAGAACAAATTAGGAAAAACAGATGGAACCAGCTGCAAAATTCCCTTAGAAAGTGAAACTGTAAGAAACCAAAGGCCATAATTCACCACTGTGGTTTTCTGAGAGAATATGATTCTCCCTACGTTGGAAGAGAGAAAATTAGAGGACTTTGGAAAGAAAAAGCGTTCCTGGTGAGAAATGATGTGCCAGTGAAGATTATTTTAAGGTATACATTGTCTGGGGAGATTATTTAAGTGAGGGTGGAGGGAAGTGGGGCTTTTAGTTCCTTTTCAGTTCTTTTGTTGCTAAATACTTCAGTCCTTGGCCCCATGTGGTAAAAGGAGCTTTGAGGCACCCACAGAACTGTTCAGTAAATGGCCAATGGCTGCTCAGAACCCCTGGGCCTGGTTGAGGTAGAATGACATAAAGACAATCTCTTCCAGCTCCCTTCCCTCAGATTTTAGGGTCAGGGACTGTCAAAACTGTTTCATGTGGATACACTGAGGGAGGAGGGTAAAAGAAGAAAAAGAGAGCACTTAGGCAAAACATCCTTGATTTTTCAAAAAAAAAGTTTAATTTTCCCTATGACTTCAAATTTTAAAAAGGGAAAGAAAAACAGGAAAAATAGGAAAATAACCATTTATGTGACACCTTTTCAAAACTGGGTTTCCTTTTCCTGCATTTTCTTGATATCCTGCCTCCAATACTGTGACCTAAGTTTTTTAAAAGACTCCTGAGAGCCTGGCTCCAGCCACTGGCTGTGTGAGAGATGGTAGCACTGTAACAGCAGGCATGTTGTTTATGGTTATCCACACCAACACCTTCCTTAATGAGAAAGGAAGCAATAAAACAGAAGTAGTGGACAGGCCAGCTGGGCTAATCAGCCCTGGCAGGAGGCCCATCCTCCAAAAGAAGCTGGAGTCCATTAATTCCAGCATCTCATCCACTTGGAAATCGACCTTCCTCAGGACCTCAGAAGAGCAACAGCTCTTTACATAACCAGAGTGGTCCTTGATGTAGCTGGTTACAAAGAGCTGGATAGCTTCAGGAAGCTTCTTAAACCTTACCCACACAGCTGTTTCTTGCCTCTGGCAGTCTTGTTCCCTTATCATATTTAAAAATGGTCCGGGAAAAACATTTATTACTGTTTCTATGTTGTTTCTTTCCAGCCTTCTTGTGTAGGTTTTGACTCTGTGCTTACCTACAATCTTAGACCAGGAGGGGCTCATATTCATCTGTCCTTTCCTTCCTCACTGTTCCTTCCTGTGATTTGCAGCTTATCATTTATTCCTTGGTGTTCCTGCCTGTACTTTTTCTCCTCCAGCCTTTCTTCCATACTGATGCCATTAAGCTAACAGAAATCCCTCCCCAGTTTAAGAACATTAACAGTACTCAATTCTTTCTGCCCACTGAAAGATCTGGTGGATCAATTGGCAGATGTGCTACAAGTAGTTTGTTTCTGGTCTTACTGAAAGCCATGTTCAGT